GATTTGGGGATTCTGTTCATTTGTGTTTGTATTAGAGAGGCCATAGGCTCTTTGGTGTTTACAATATACACATATGACATTGCAATACCTTATAAACATGAAATAGAAATATACATAAAAGCCCTAAAAAGCAAAAAAAAGAGAGTGACTGAGCCTGTGGTCTCTTAAAATTGTGGCATACTGAAATATCCACCAATAGTATCTAAACATTCATGAAAAAAAAAAAAAAAATGATAAGGCATTGCTCATCCTCTCTATGGATGAGACTGTAGAGCCGAGGGAAGCAAAAGACAGCGAGAAAAGAGTGTGGAGCACAGATTGTGTTGTGTGCCTTTGACAAAGAGAAGCTCTTAACAGCCTCCTTGCTGGCTAAGGCTCCTGGTGGGGGTGGTGGGCATTATAAAGTAGTTGAGAGACTAGAGGTTAGCATCGCATTGGCAACATTTTATCATAGAACATGCAGCGATTCAGTGTTCTGAGTCAAGCCATTTTGATAAAAGTTAATTAGCCAATGTTTGATTTCTGAAACACCACCATTCACAATTGCAGCTGCTTCAATTTAACACCTGCAGTAAAGATTATAGCACAATACACCAACCCTCTACCTCCTGTTTAATTAAATCTGACAAGTTTTCTAAGGCATTAACTCGCACTCGAGCAAAGGCTGCAGTTACAATTCACAGTGCAGAAGCCACTTGTACTGGAGCAGGATGCTCTGCGGTTTGCGTGAGTTCTGTCTGATCATGTAGGTGTGTGTGGCTTTCTTTCGGGAAAAAACGGTGGAATGTGTGGGTGAGTGGTGCAATATGTACTTAAAGACGAAACAAAACCGTAGCTGACCACAGAAATCAGCAATATTTCTGCATGAGCAGAAAAAGCAAGCTGTCATTTGAGAATAAATTATGATGGAGAGAAAACTAATCTATCTGTATTGAGTTACAGCTCTGCTATCCCCTCGATTCGGCTGTGTCTTTTATCAGACAATAGAGAACCTCTGCGCTGTGCAGTCATGGCATCAGACTTGCACCGGGGCAAGCCCTGCTTCTTCGCTCACTGTGCCCTGGGAGCAACTTGGCAGGATCAGTGTCTCTGTGGCTGCATACAAAGGCCTCATGGAAGCTCGTGCCCTTGAGCGGAGATCATATTAGCTCTCCACTGGATCACTAATCCTAACCCACAGCACACTGTATGTCCCAAACTCGTGCAGACACACATCACACAGTATGATGAATGGACACTTGTTAAGATGAGCAAAAATTGCGGACGAGCTGAATGAATACTGAGGATGCTCTGTTTGATTTGTGAGTGGAGGGTTTAGCTTAACTCCATTTTGGAGACTCTTAGGACTAGAGAAGGATGCAGCAGCCATAAGCTTCTCATCCTTGTATGCACACACACATAAATATTCATATATATTGAACCATAAGAACTGGCTGCACAAAATAATTACAAATGTGAGTGCTCAAACCCATTCCAGGGAAGAAGATGTTCACGCTGGAGCATGAAGCCATACATGAAGCCAATAATGTGCACACAGAGCTGCTGACTTTCACTACATCTTGTCAAATGTATAATTTATTTGAAGCACTAACTAGGGAAGCCTCGAAAGTGCTGTAGAGAAGGGCAGAAGGTAAGCTAGCAAGTAGGGAACAGAAAAAAGGAGAGTAAGCAGAAGGGGGGAAAGGAGGTAGAAGGAGATAAAAGAAAGAGGAGGCTGGAAGAGAGGACTGAGTGAGGGATTACAGAGGTGAAGGAGGCAGAAAGGACAAAAAAATGTGGAATTGGAAATGTGAGAGCAGAGAAGTGGAACGAGTGTGACAACAGGGAGAGGAGTGATAATCAAAGGAGTGTAAAGACAAGCAAAGCAGGAGGAAGGCAGTAAGAGCTAGCAGAATTACACTGTATGTCCTCTCTACCACTCAGACTTCATTCTTTATTGCAATAATGTTCTATCAGACATCACGACTGGAATAAGATAAGTTGCTTTTAGAGCTGAAAATCCCTTTTACTGTGCACACCATCTTTGTTCTTGCCTCTCAAACATCAAACCATCTCTCTCTGATTCAGTGCCATACAGGGAGGGAGAGTCAAAGGTATTGTCAGACTCGCAAACCAAATATAAATCCTGTGACGTCTCCTCCAGTTGATATGCCCTAATATTCTAAATGTTATGTAATGATTTCTGTGTGATGCATTGCTATCATATTTTGCAATTTATTTTTTATTTTTTGGGGGAGATTTTAGTGTAGGAAGGATCAGAAAATTACATAAGCTGTTGAAACACTACTTGGTAAGACCTGAAAGTTTGCGTTCCCTTTAAAATTGGATTATAAGGTGTTAAAGGTGGCATCCGGGCTACACTGATGACTTGTCATGACCTCATGAGTATTTGTTGGAGGGTTTTCACCATTAGTTTCTCCTGATAGCTTATTTTCTAATTATTGATGCTATTACAGCACACAGACACAACATTATGTCTGACATAACATGTCTCTAGAGCATTTTGAAGGCTTTTGGAGACAGAGTTTCAGATTTTATTCATGCCAAAGGTTTGGACTTCGCCAGGGCTAGACAGGTATATAAAAAAATATCTACTTGTCCAATGCTACCTTAACAAAAAAACTCAAACTTTTTAGTTGCCGTGAGTGCTCTTCATTTTGTCCTCGCAGAATTGCACTAATTCTACTTCTATTGCTATCAAAATTGTTCCATTTATTACATCTCACTGGAAATTCAGGGTTTCGGCTAACTTCCCACCTAACACGTGGCTCACTGGGGATGCCATTTAAGTCTGCCATTCTTCAAACTAAGAACAGCATTGAGCACAGTGGTGTTTTACCGTCCTATCAGATATTTGTCACTCACTGGCTTACTGTGGCTTCACCCACACAGCCAAAGTTTGTGCACAGACCTGCACTAGGAAGCAACATTGTTCACATAACCTGTTCTACAGTATGTGGGTGTCAGGGAACAGCTCACCCAGGGAGCTGCTCACCCATCATCTGCTACATGATGGCAAGCCACACTCCTCACCTGCAATGCAGCCAGCCTCCATTAAAGTTTAATGACACATTTAAAGGAATATACCAAGTTTCTGGTAAATCCTGGTTGATTTGCACAGTGGGAAGATGGGTGCAGGTTTTTATTGATTTACCAAAGGTTTAGCTGATTTTGTTCATCATAATGTGATCATGTAGCCACTGCAATGAAGATGCAACCCAACATCTCACTGGTTGATCAAGGACCTGCTTTGCCAATCAGTCAGTATATTCCTTTTACGCACTTCTGTGCACTAACTTTCCTTTTTATAAACTGACCATCTGTCTCACAATCTCTTGGCAATAGACAGGGTTTTCTTTGCCAGCTTTACAGTAAGTCTTTTCTCACTTTGATAGCGATGCAGGATTCTGGAACAAGTTTGGTGAAATGTCCACTTTTACCAACTGTGGTCTTTTACTTTGTTTCTGGTTTGTTTTTTCTAACTAACTCAGTGAGTCACACTCAAGACAAATAAGATGCGTTGAGGGACTGATGTTCCAGGTTTACAGAGAGAGATACCTTGACATTTTCAATTTTGAGAATTTGTCACACTGCATCGTGTTAGGAAACAATAATAGGCTTTGTAGAACCAACAGGCACTGATCAGTTTGGAATTTAGCGAACTGGAAGAAGATGTGAAATACATTTTTTTAATTTATTCTCATGTATATCATTTGAACCTACATGTATTTAATGTTCTTTAATGTAAACCACCAGAGTGTAAAATGCTGTCTCCCTGTTCATCTGACTGCACCTACCTATCTATGTTTAACTGACCAATAATCTCTGTTGCCAAGGAAACTGAGAGGTTGATAAGCAAATGAATGTAATGTGCCACAGTTAAGCACAAATTTATGTAATATGTCTGAAAGGGCCAGCTGCATTCGCTTCTGCTCTACACACACTGAGTCCAAGTGAAATTTTCAAATGATCCCCACCTTCACACAGCTGTAAGAGTTGCGGTGTGTGTGTGTGTGTGTGTGTGTGTGTGTGTGTGAGTGTGTGTGTGAGTGTGTGTGTGTGTGTTTGTGTGTTCCTGTTCCACACTTTTTGTCATCACTTCCTGCCAGAAACTGCATTCAGGTGCAGCTGCTACAGTATATTGAAGTATGTCCACCAGGATTTTTGAAGACCTAGAACATATTGCAGGCGTCTGAACAAACAGGGTCTAACCCCAGAGTGTGTCTGGAGACTGACTACATTAAAGCTCTTTCATTTTTCATTTTATCTGCCAATTTCATGACTATGACTGCCTCCATGGAGCGTCGGGCTGAGTGCTGACGCTGAGCACATGTGTATGATATAACGCATCGCTCATATCCTGTGTGTGTGAGAGAGGCAGATGTGTTCATATGCACAGTGGGTAGCTCTAACGTGTGCCTCCGGTCGAGGTTAAGATAAAAGCAGCTGAAAATATGAGGAGATTAGCATGCAGGATGCCCTCCCATGGTCTCTCCCTGACATATTCTGCAGCTCCGGCATGACACAAAGCCCCACACAAGCAACCCAAGCACCGGCTCTCTCCCGCTTTTTACTACGTCCACGCAGGTCAACCGGCCCCTGTTTATACACTCGCAAAGCATGACACAGAGTAGGAGATGCAGAGTGGGAGAGAGGGTCATCCAAAGAGGGAAATATCAAAGAGTATTCTGTCTACACACTGCTCAGGTAGCCCAGCTCACCCTGAGGTTTTTCTGAAATATGAAAATCTCGCAAAAAGATCACAAACATAGAGACATGCTTGTGTCTTAGAGAAGAAGAAAGGCATCTATACTTTTATAATTATAAATGACAGAAAGATGAGCGCTTCCCTCTTCTCAGTGTCCAGATACAGTTGTGGCAGCTCTCTCTCTTTCTATCTCTCTCTCTCTCTCTCAATCACACACACACACACACACACACACACACACACACACACACACACACACACAGCTAAAGTAAGGAACAACAGATAGGCTTACCTTTGTAGTCACAATGCAGAGGCAGTCCATGGTACTTAGAACAAAATATTGGGGTGTATCTCAACCCCCCCAACCCCCCACGACAGAGGGCTGAGACCCCACACCCCTCTCCCCAGCCTGCCCCACTCCTGCACTCTCACTCTCGTCCTGCCTTTCCCCCCTTTTCTTTCCTTCCGTGAATCTGTTCTTTGACTAACTGAACCAGCGAGGGAAAGAGAGGATGGAGGGAGGGGGAAACATGAAAAGGGAGGGGGAGGGCCACAGGGAAATAGAGAGAGTGAGCAAAGAAAGAGAGAGGAGAGGAAAGAGGGTGGTCTTGGAATTTAGTATGAGAGAGAGAAAGAGCGGAGAAAAGGGAAGGTGAGAGTATATCCGTTTTCTTTTTCCAAGGCAAGAGAGAAACAGCGGAAAAGAAATAAAAGATGGGGTGAATATGAAGGGAGATGGAGGAAGGGGGGAGGATGGAGATGGAAAGCAGAGGTGGTGGGGATTAAAAAAAAGGGGGAGGGAGGTTCACACTGTGGAAAGAAAGGGAAAAAGAGAAACAGAGAATAAGACAGCGAAACAGCAGAGGATGGAGAGGAAGAACTGAGGGAGGGGACAGTGAAGGAGAGAGAAAAGGAGAGGGAGAGTGGGTGAGTGTGTGCGTGTGTGTGTGTGCGTGTGTGTGTGTGTGTGTGTGTGTGTGTGTGTGTGTGTGTGTGTGTGTGTGTGTGAAGACAGAAGGAATTAGACCGAAAGAAAATGTGTTGAGGAGGAGAGTGTGAATTACATATGCATCACAGAAAAAGAAAACACGAAGCACCGCGAGAGCGACTTAAAGACCAAATCACACACACACACACACACACACACACACACACACACACACACACACACACACACACACAAAGAAATGGGAGTTTGCATTAACCGGGTGAAATAATGAGGTTGAAAATGCGTGAAGGTTTTTCTGCTTGTTGTAGCACTCTGCTGCTGTTGCCTTAGCAATGGTGCAGTTGTTGCCATGGCAATAGGGGGGCTTGATGTTGTCATATGGTCACTGTTGTAGTGCTGAGGACTGAGTGGGGAACTGCATTGGATTTGTACACCTGTGCATCGAAATCTTTGTGTGTGTGTGTGTGTGTGTGTGTGTTTAGGTGTGTCCATTCATTTTGAGTATTATTGACACCATATTTAAATAAGAGATCACCAGAACTTATCTAGTGGATTATTTGAATATCAGCTACTACTATATATCCACACGATTCAACACGTGTGACCCATAAACCATTTACAATGAATTATTATGTGCTTTCTTGTACACGTTATCATCATGTCAACTATTTTGTTGGGTTTAAATAAAATGGTGTAAAAATGTATGCACTCATCTCAGCTGTACACTCTGCCTTTAAGACTGTGGACTGTACCACTCAGGGTTGTGTAAGGGGGAATGTGTGCTTCAATGTCTTTGCATCATCAGTTCTATAATTGTACAAATCCACCCCTCACCCCACTTTCCAGCTCCCCACAATGCCGGAGCAATGGTGCAGCAGTAAAGCAATTCTAAATGATGAACACACATTTATCCCCCAGGGTGAAGAGTAAAGGCTTTGATCGAAATGTACAGTGCAATACAACAAACACAGACACTTAACATCCACAGATGGCCACATCCTACAGATGGCCGCTGTTATAAATACACTCGCAGTCATGCTTTCACAAATGTCAAGCTCTGTAATTAAGTGCTAGAATGAGCTACCTTAATTACTCCACTTCTACTCAGTTACATACCTGTTAATCTAGTTTTTTTCTGTTTTTCTGGCACCTGATCATCCACTTCTGACTCATATTGAACTGGTTAACTATAAACCTAACTTAGCAGAAGCTAGACAGCAGCTTAATGTGACAGAAGTTTAATGAGATATCCAGCAGAGATTCCAGCAGAGGTAGTTTAAGCAATATTTCACTGTCATCATATATCATTTAATAACTCGAGCTCTTGATGCCTTACGACAACTCTATTTATTATACATTTAAAGACTAAAGAACTGTAAAGGTTTTTTCTGAGATTGATCTTTTAAGAGAGTTATTTTGTCTTTTTTTAATTAGTAATAGAGAGAGAAAAAGATATGTGATATCAGGAAATCAGTTAACAGGACCAGAAGGTCATTATCTCTCAGGAAGTTAGTGTTAAGAATGTGAATATTTTGTTTTTCAAACAAATAAACAATATAATAAACAATTGTAAGTCATGTTAATGTGCAATTTTTTTTACTAACATATAATGTTCAGTGGAAATTTAGATGTTAAACGTCATAGGCAACATTTAAAGGACCAGTGTCTAGGATTTAGTGGCATCTAGTGGTGTAGTTTCAGGTTGTAAGTCCCTCGCTTCATCCTCCCCTTCCAAGCACGAAGAAGAAACTATGGTGGTCTAGAAATGCGTGAAAAATGCGAACGTCCCTATCTAGAGCCAGTGTTTGGTTTGTCTGATCTGGGCAACTCTAGAAACATGGCGGACTCCAGGGAAGGTGACCCCTGTAGATATTAAAAGCTCATTCTAAGCTAACAAAAACAGATTATTTTCAGGTGATTATACACTAATGAAAACATACCTATTAATATTATATTCCATTTCTGCTTATGGATCCTCCTAAATGTTACACAGTAAACCTTTAACAAGCAAATCATGCATGAAAAACTATTTTAAAAAATTCCGATAATTTCAATTTTGTTTTGAGAGATAAAAAAAAAAGATAAATTGTAAAAGATAATTGTTTTGTTTATTTGCAGCAGAGACCAAAAGGAATTTTACTACAGTGGCAATCATGAGCCTTGAACTTGTAATTTAATGTTTCTGTGGTGGTGTTGCCAGTGCACCACTCAAAGGAACAATAAATATGTCTGTTTGAGTGCATCTTTGCTTAAATATTTGTCTGGGAAATAATGTAGGGCTGCAACTAATTACTATTTTCATTCTGATAAGGACAAATGCCTATCACAAGAAAAGCTAGTTCAATAAATCAGCCAATATTAGCTCATTGCAAATATATCTGTGTATGTCGGCCATTAAGTATCAAGCAATGGCAGTAAAAATGCCAAACTAGGATTGAAATAAATGAGTTACTATTACACAGTTTGTCCACCAGAGAGCACTGATAGGTTGACTTTTCAATTGTAAAATGCTCCGTTTAAACAACAAAGGATCTGAAGCAAGATTGTTATTTATGTTACTAGATATTACCATCGGCCGATATATAATTATCAGATCTTTAAGTTCCCAATTATCAGTATCTGCCTTAAAGAATCCAATCTGAACGTCCAACGTGTTCTCTCAACTGCTTATTTTACCTCAACAACAATTAAAACCAAAATAAATTATTTGTATTATTTTGTGAGAGGGAGAAAATGTACAAATCCTTATATTTGACAATTTTATTTGATAAATTACCTAAAATGATTATTCTGGATAGGTAAGTCTATCTTGCAACAAAACTTGCATGCCCATACTGTGCACCTGGCTTGTCATTCATATTGACCTTTCCCTTCCTAACATGCTTTCAGTGGAAGTGATGGAAGACAAAATCCACAGTCCTTGGTAAAAACAGAAGACTTCCAAAGAGTATTCCAGGTTATACTGTAGTAATGTCAGACTTCTGCAGTCTGACTTAATGAAATCAAGTGGATATCTCCCAAACTTTAAGTCTTTTTTAGTACACCCTCTTTGTGTGTCCTCAGACAGTGTTTCATGCCTGAGCTGCAGAGGAAGATACTCACTTAATTTGTGTAACTCATCCTACTGCAGCTTAGTATTAACTTCAGATAAACTTCAGAATGTATTTTTTGTCAATTTCCTTTGTATCAACCAATTACTTAATTGACAAATCCGTTCAGAAAACTCTACTGTAATCAGTGCTTCACACTGCAGTGTATCTTTATTGTGTATAATTGTAGCAGGATCCTGTTGTACTACACTGTTCTTGAGTGACAGCAAAAAATGGGTTTACGAAATCACCTGTAAATGTAACAGATAATTAACGATACCCACTTATCACATCAGTGGTGATGTTTTTCATTTAGTTAATTTATACAGGAGCACTTGATGTGCCCTCAGCCTTCCTACCTGCCTTATTTTACAGCTTTCTCTTCTACCACTGAACTTACAAACTGAAATGCAAAATGTGGAACATCTGTGTGAAACAGTCCATACATGAAGGTGAAAACATTTTCTGTGTATTTCAGAAATGCATTCAAGAACATTTTATGCCTCTGTAAATATTTTAGTGGGAAACTGGGAGCAAGTCATGTTTATGTGAATGCTTTAGTAATTAATGTAAGTGTGTGTGCCAGCATGTGTGTGAGCTGATCTATGACGGCTGTTTATATACATTTTAAACTGTAAGTGATAAATATAAGAGTTTGTACATATGCATATGGAAGGGATTGTTTGAGTTAGGGGCCATATACTGTGCGTAGCACATGTTTTCTCTCAGAAGATGTTCCTATTATGGCTGACCTGTATACAAGATTATATAATTCTGCTCTCGAGTGAGCAAGGAGCTCTGCACTCACATTTGCTTTGCCAAAACTGGAGTATTCTCACGTTCTCAAAGTTATGATTCTTCTGGTGAACAGTATGAGCTTTATCTGTCACAAAAATGAGTTACAGGAAAACAACATTCATGATAATTATGTAGTTGAGGGGAAATGTGAGGAAAAACCCACACAGGCACAAAGTCACAGGCACACACTTACACATGCACATGCTGTTAAAAATATATCATGCTAGAAGTAGCAGAGAGAAAAGCCTCTCCTTGTGGACAAGCTTGAATACTGAGAGAATTTCCAATGATGTGCATCCCACTAACCTGCATTATAATAATTCTTTCTTAGATCTGAAGAGCACTCACCCAAAAATATGTTGTCTCCATCCTCCTGTGCCGCTTTGCTTAAAGACTATAGTCTTTTGGCTGTATGGTATGCCTCTGACCAAAAAGTAGGCCAAGGACAAGCGCTGGTCATCTAAACAGGCTAAAACTAAGCACATCCAGATCATGGGGCTGCTGACTGAAAAGTGGCCAGATTTATCTTTAGCAGGGGCCAATGGCACAATTTTCATTTGTACTGCATTATTCATATTAATGTATATTATTTATGGCATTTGCTATGATAACTTTTCAATTAGTCAGGATTATAATACAGTCAGAAAGTAGTGTTATTTTGATTTAAAACCTCCGAACAGAAGATGTTTAAAATGCTATGGATTCATTTAAGTGATGCAGGCATATACAATGAATTGTATGTAGCATTATTATTATAAAAATATCACTGCTCTTGTTGCTTCTAGCTAGCAGAATTTCCGTATCTTCCTGGTCTAAAAATATTCAACTGGCATAAAAGCCGAGAGACCATTCCTGAGTTGTCAAGGCCAAGAGACACCCACAGGTGTCTGCACACTCGCTCGAGGAAGTGTCACTTTTTTGGTGTTGTTTAGGGGTATCATTGTGAAGATTTTGTCGGCTGCTCACCGGGCCTGCCTGCTTCTTTTGCAGCGAGGATGTCACTGCAGCTTTCCTGAAGTATAAACTATCCTTTGTGCAGGTGATATGAGTGCAATGTACCATGTGTGAATTCCTCAGGAAACAGGCTGCTTGTTGGATTCTGGGATTTTTGTGTGTGTCCCAAGGCAGATGTTCACTGATTGGGCTGATGCATGCAACATTTGTTTCTGAGTGATATGAAGGA